TCTCCTTGATTTAAAACTAGGAATTCAGAACAATTCACCTAATGTTATTTTACCCTTACAGCGGTATTTAAGAATAAGGCGCAATCATTTGTGCCAACGATGCCCTACTGCATAGAACTAAGGAAACAAAGGATTAAGAATTTACCCTCACGTAGACGACAACAGCCGAGAGCATAAGGTGTCAGGCGGAAACTCTATTTCTGCACATCTTTAGCATAAATGCTTATTAGTAAATATGGTTAAACCACAGTAAAAAACGAAGTAAAGGCTTCAAAAGAGGAGAGTCTATTAAGAAAGTTAAAAGCGAAAAGGTAGAACCCAAAAGAAATAGCAAGTCTACAGTTCCAAACAGTCCGATGAAACCTTTTTATTGACCATACTAATTCCGGTTAGCAAACGTAAGGGATCCGGGTCGAAAATTTGAGGAATTTAAAAAGCTCACCGGATCAGGGAAATTGTATGGCTGACGTTTTGGAGGACTTGGTCGATACAACGAGCTTAAGTAATGAAGAGCCGGCCAAGCCTTCCGGAATGTCAGCCATACAATTCCCCTGATCCGGTGAGTTCTTCACAATTCTTACATAATAATTCCGTGACGGAAATAATTGTGAAAAACTCTTCCCACTGCGAATGTAAATAATGGCTGAAAATGTCAACATGAGATAAAAACATTGATGGTTGGAAAAAATATTAGAGCAAAAAGCAACATTACCTTGTTTTGGACTGATAAAATGTGTTCCATGCAGCCATTATGAGGTTTGGGAACTGAGCGCATATTCCCAGATAACTAACGAAATTAAGTCGATAATCCACGTTTCCGCTAGTTGTTGTGTTCAATTTGTAGTCGACAAAATACTGGAAAAAGCGTAAGCAAAATCGGAGTATACCTCTCTTGCATTGATAAAAACATTCCAAGGCAGGAGAAATCCAACTCCGTGGATAAACAGAAAAAGATAGGCCAAATTCCAACTAACACTTTACTTTTATGATAGGGACTTACGCATCCTTTGGCGTATCTTGCTTACTTCTCTTCCCCTCGTCTTTATTCATACTACCAGGTAGAGACTATAGTTTCCAACTAAAAGCATAAATGTACTTTTAACGTAAGCGTCTATCAAAACTAGAATGAGCAGGAGTTCAAATCGACTCCTCTAGGTGTATATATAAGCAAATCTATTGAGAAAGATCCTTATTACTTTGGTGCATGCGCGTTTGTAAAATGTCAATGCCAAAACAATGGAAAATGTTCAATTGCACTTGTTTTAGCGTTGACGTTTAATAAATACACATGCACCAAAGTAATACACAATCAAATTAGCTTGTCGCAAACCGCAGTTGCAGTAAGCAAATCTGATTATGTATTATTAAGTATTATCCCTAACAAGCATATACACCTGCAATTGCAGGTGCAGTCAACTAACATGTTAGTTAACTGCGCCCAATATACGCTCGTCAACGATAACAATTGTTAGTAGATATGGGCAAAACTGCAAGGGACAAGAGAAGAAAACAGCATAGATTTAAAGGAGTGGACAGATGAAAAAGACTTCAGCATGGCCTGCTCACAGTCAGAGCTATAACCGTCGACGCAGCAAGTGGGCAGCCAACTCAAGGAATGTTAAATTCGTACAACAAAGGACATAATCGATTAAATTTATTTAATTAAACAACAAAAATACACGACCACTTATTGATAAGAAATTTTTGTTTTCCCAATGGGATTCCAACTGATTATGAAAAAAGGTGGCCACTTAATGTTTCGAAGGCCTTTACCTAGTAATACGCAGAAATGCAAAAGGTTAGATACCGAAGCGCTCTGTAACCATAAATGAAGGATCCATCAGAAAATTTGGCAAGCATGTGCGTGACTTCAACATATTATCGTTATGCTAGCATATTAACCTAAAAACAGAGTACAAGTGAAACCTGCGGGTGACAAGCGAAAGTTATTACAGGTAGTCTTTTCATACAAGTGTGTTGCGGATACAGGGTGAAGATAATAATATATATCGAGCAGAGAAGCAGTGAAAGTCGTGGGATGGGGAAGGATGTAGAGAAATGCATGTTGTTAGCCGACCTTAGGCTACGGTAGGCGTAAAGCTCGTGCCGGGTTTATCTTCGCGTAAAAGGCCAGTTTCCCTAACCTGATGGCAGTTACATTTGGTGTTACATGCAGACGTCGACGTGGTGGAGTAGGGTAGTTCGGTGGGACCTTGTAAATTTCACATAATGGTTGTGAGAGAGAGAGAGACGACAAGACCACAAGTCTCTGCAACACCAGCACTTCATGAATATACCAACGCGTTGTTCGTAGGGAGTAGGAAAATCAGTAATACAACAGTAAAATCCACGAAATTGATTTGGTGAAAGTGCGCAGATTTGTGTCACCACACGCAGCTTATAATTAAAAAAATATCTGCCATGTAGAATTATGCATGATGAGGTGTAGTTAACAGTATTTTTGCTACTATTCCGCACTACTGAAAAAGCGGACCTCTTTGCTTTAGCGTGGATTCAAAACAGCGATTTTATTGACAGAATATTCATATAGTCGAAATTAGTTCCACAGAGTGATACAACTGATGCACACTTGGCGGTTGTTTCGATCCATTTGCGCGGTCATCCCTTAAGATTGCAGAGAAAGCTGGCTCATTCGGATGTCCGACGGAACGCCTTTTTTCACAGGGTCATTGGGACATGGAACGGACTCCCTGATGCGGTGGTTCTTTCCGAAAGCGTCGAATCCTTTAAGTGTGGGCTAGATGCTCATTTGTTGAGAAACTACTGTACATATAATAATGATTTTTTATCGACGGCAGTTTGCGCCTTGCTCACACTTACCGCCAACTTTTTAACTTTCCGCATTTGCTGATATAATTGATGACTTTATTTCTGATTATCGATATGAATAGGAAGCTCAAGGGCAAAAGCCTCCTTCCCTTAATAAACTGACTTAAACTGACTTGACCGTCGTTCGTAAATTTCGTGTGCTTCTTTAAATTACAGTAAGCGACATGGTAGAATTTCAGTACTCAGTATGTCGCGCAAGCTGCGCAGCATTCAAAGCTCATTTTTCATTTTTGTGCATATTTGTAAGTCCTTCTCCAAATGTATGCTTCAATTAAGAATAGAAAATTTGGTTGCACCTGAGAAATGAAGACGGCCTCTCGGAGAGCGAACCCAAGGGTGAATAATAAATATGCGCCACCTAATCAGGACTATTTGCTGGAGAGGTAGGTTGGATAGAGCAATGTGTCCCGTGAAAGTTATGATGTCTGAGCTGCAAAACAATGACTTCTGATGAGGGACGGTGAGAATTGATCGAGTATGTTTGAGTGCTACTAGAACTTAATAAAAGGCTCCCGCTGAAAAGCCTTTGACCTTAAGGACTCCGATTAAGTGCTTAATGTGTGGTATAACGGAACAGATCCTACTTTTGCCCTTCTCTTTTGTTCCACTGTCATCACAGGAGGGAAAGTTGCCAGGTCCCTGATTCGGAACCATTTTCAAAAGACACACTCGTGGAATTTTGGACGAATGGATAACTCTATGGTGCGATACACTGTCAAATTTAGTGTGAATTGTTGTAAGCCGGTAGGGGTAGGTGTCACGAACCAGTATAGAACGATGGGCTGTCAGTACTTATGCCATTCAATATGCATGTCGGGGGCGTAGGACTGTACAGGTTTAGGTCCACGTGAAGGTCGTCTTAGGTCGCCTTGCTTGGTTGCAGGTGTTGGCTACGCCTAGCGTCTATTTACTAGAACCCAACTCTAACATGCAATTACTCGAATGTAGGCTCAGCCATGCGTCAACATCCCGGTAACCACCTCGACTGGCGCGCTAAATCAAGTGAGGGTATCCGGTGTTTTGTGCTCCCACACCCGGCAAACCTGCTTCCCTTCCAAAATCCCTTCCCGTGCTACCCGAATTTCTCTCTACCTCCCACTATTTCCCTGCATCAAAAAATTCTACGAAGGACGACACGCAGTCCCACAGGAAGCTAAGGTTAATTCGGGTCGCTCTGCACTAAACAAAGGCGTAATCCATGATGGAGTTCGGCAACCGTCTGGAAATTCTAAGCAGTCATATTTAGGGATACCATTGCTTATTCCCTGATGCAAAGGTGCCCAGAAAATGTGTCCTAAGTAAATTATGGAGAATTACGTCATCAGTTAGTATACCGTGTCTCATATTCGCAAGTATCACGCTCAAATAGAACAAGGAACAACAGCGACCTCTCAATAATATTTTGGAACCCACGGAGGCTATTGAAGCGATCAAAGCCTTCCGCCTTGGAAAACGAGCAGACAATCCATCAATGTCCACTCGACCCCGGCCTCTTAAAGTTGTGCTGACCAGCAGCGACCAAGCCAGTCTCATTTACTCCAGGCGATTCAGTATTAAAGACTCCAACCCCGGTGTTTTTTTCAACCGGACTACTCGTCAGCCGAACGGCTCAAGCGTCGTCAGCTGGTTCTAGAACTAAGAAAGAGGCTCAACGAGGGGGAGAACAATTTAGTAATATACAACAACCAAGTACGGCGGCGTCCGTCACTCTTCCTTTGGACAGGTCCTGTCCGAATGACCGCGCAGCCCACATATTAAGTGAAGGCGCTAACCCAAATGTAGCCACATCTTCCGTCAGCCGGAAATTGAAATTCTTGTAGAACAACGTACAGAGTTTGCTATCAAAGTTCGACGAGCTGAAGATCCACATCTGCGACCTATCCCCTGACGTAATCTCTCTAACAGAAACCTGGTTGACCCAACACGTGGACGACCGTGAGCTGGCCTTGCCTGGCTACCAGATGTTTAGAAGGGATAGGGAAGGGCGTCAGGGAGGAGGCGTACTAATGTATGTAAAAAATGGGCTAAATGTATCAGACAAGACCGATAACTTTTCGTGCAGTTCCGAGGCAATCTGGTTGTCTATTAAAGGGCCGAGCTCGCCTAGCCTCGATGTCCTGACAGTTTATCGACCGCCGAGACGGGACAACATGGCCGACGCTCGCCTGCTGGAGGAGCTCGAAAACTTCGCTACGCGGCCAGATATCCTAATCATGGGCGACTTTAACGCGCCCCATATTGACTGGAGCCCAACCCATGCGAATAGCTCAGAACAGACCTTCGATAGGAGTTTTCTGAACACGGCATTGAAGCTATTTCTCACTCAACACGTCATGTTACCAACTAGAGTATGCGAAGGCCAACAAGCCAACTGCCTTGATCTTGTCCTTACGAAGTCACAGGACAGCATTGATGAGGTGTCATGCCTACCCCCCTTAGGTAAAAGTGACCACGTCGTTCTCCTATGGGATTACTCGTTTTTTTCCATGCCCAAGAAACCCGGGACAGTTAGAAGAAACCTTTGGCGCGGGGATTTCAACCAAATGAGGGCTGAAATTTTACGCATTGAGTGGGAGTCCATATTTGCTGGGAGCATACTCGAAGACTGGCAACGGTTCCGAGAAATTCTGCACGAGCTGATCGTAAACCACTGTCCGCTTTCACGGAAGAGGTTAACTAACAGACCTCGATGGCTTACGCAAGCCTTGAAGAATGAAGTTAATAAAAAACGACGGCTGTGGAAAAAACCGCTTTCTGACAGGAGCCCCACATCTATATGCGCGTACAAAATTCAAAGAAATCGAGTCAAGGGTCTTATCCTCAAAACTAGAAAGGAATTTGAACGGGATCTGCTTAACCGTGCCGCGGAGAACCCTAAATTATTCTACGGTTACATTAGGCAGTGCACGCGGAACAAGGACCCAATACCCCTGCTAAGGACTGCTGAAGGCGAACATCTCACTGACGACAGGGCGAAAGCTGATCACCTTTCAGAATTTTTTCGGTCTGTGTTTAGTAGCGAAACAGGATTCAACCCTTCGGCCCCTCAATCCTTCGAAGACACCCCAATTATAGAGACCGTCCAGTTCACTGAGGGTACGGTTCTGAAGGAGTTGCTGAGGCTAAAGGAATCCAAATCACCAGGTCCCGATGAGATTCCGGCGAAGATTTTGAAGGAACTCGCCGGTGAGTTGTCTAAGCCACTCTCCATGCTTTTCCATACATCCTTCGAGACCGGATATCTGCCACCCGACTGGAAGTCGGCGTGGATTACGCCGCTGTACAAGGGTGGAAGTCGGATCTCTGCGAACAATTACAGACCGGTCAGCCTCACCTCCATTTGCTGTAAGATTATGGAGAAGATAATAAAGCAACAACTAATGCAGTTCCTTGAACAAAACCATTTGCTTTCCGATTCTCAGCATGGATTCCGAAAGGCAGATCCTGTGTGACAAACCTGCTCTACTGTCTGGAACACTGGACTAGGGCCGTTGATAGAGGAGATATGGTGCATGCCATCTATATCGACTTTAAAAAGGCCTTCGACAGTGTGCCTCACCACCGCCTTCTATACAAACTTAGCCGTGCAGGAGTGCGGGGTAAGCTTCTGATGTGGATTCGGAGTTTTTTAATCGGCCGCTCTCAAGCCGTCCACGTCGTTGACCAACAATCTGCCGAGGTTGCCGTTAAGAGTGGTGTTCCCCAAGGCTCTGTTCTTGGCCCTACGCTGTTCCTCGTATATGTCAATGACTGCGCAAACGAACTGAATTGCGATGTCGCAATGTTTGCCGATGACATAAAGATCTGGAGTACCATACGAAGCGAAGTTGACGAGGCGCGACTGCAGACAAGTCTGGACCACCTCGAGCAATGGTCAAAAGACTGGCTTCTACCGTTCAACGTAAACAAGTGTACTTTCCTGCGCGTCGGCAGAACCAGTTCTCCTAACCACACGGTCTACCGTCTGACTGGCAAACCACTGCAAGAAGTCGAAGCCCAGAAGGACTTGGGTGTATGGATCACCACCTCGCTTAAGCCTTAGCTGCAATGTTCAAAGGTGGCCAAGTCGGCGATGTTCATGCTATACCTTGTTAAACGGGCGTTCTCCTCCTTTGATAAGGACTGCTTCGCCAAGGTCTTTCAAACTTTTGTGCGACCGCATCTGGAGTTTGCTATCCAAGCATGGCGACCCTGGACCGCTAAAGACTTGGGCATACTCGAAAAAGTTCAACAGCGAGCAACGAAACTTGTATCTTGGCAGAGGTCACTACCCTACGAAACGCGATTAGCTAATCTTGACCTCTTTCCTTTGAGTTACAGACAGCTACGTAAGGACCTGATACAAGCTTTCCGCATCGTGCGCAATCAGGGCTGCAGCCTCGCGTTTGGAGACTTCTTCAAGTTGGCGACTACGACTAACCTGAGAGGCCATCCACTCAAACTGCGTGTGGCTGGTGTCCGGCTAGACACCCGAAAGTTCTTCTTCTCCAACAGAGTGGTTGCAGCTTGGAATGCCTTGCCTGAGGGTGTTGTTATGTCAGGCTCGGTAGATACTTTTAAATGGAGACTAGATCAGCATTTTAGCGCGCACGACAACAACGCCGGACTACGGCCACCTTGACAGCCAACGCGAACAATTTAGTTTTATAACGATGCTACTACCAACAATTAAGCAATATATGTTTATGTTATTTATTAAGCTTGGGCCACGTCGCACACCGCTGTTCGCATTCACCACGGTGCCTGTAGACTAAACAATTTTACTTCTTTTCCCGTGTCTTAAGTGTGCCTCAACTATCCGCTGTATTTTGATCAACAAAGCAAGTTAATATGCCTCTAAACTCTGTTAACGCATGACATTCTGTGTTCATCTGTACAGTTTTTGCTATTCCCCTCGCATTTCTTTCGTGTTACTTCCTTTCCATTCCCTCCATATATATCCTCTGCATGTAACCAATAGGGATTTCAAAGGTACACACCTAATTTCCCTGAAATATACTGATACTGATACTGATATTGATACTTTCACTATCCCCCCTTCTTCCCATCTACATGTTTAAGTCAGTTTAAGTCAGTTTATTAAGGGAATGAGGCTTTCGCCCTTGAGCACCCTATTCATGTCGATAAACAGAAATAAAGTCATCAATTACATCAGCAAATGCGAAAAGTTAAGAAGTTAGCGGTAAGTGTGAG